CAGGCAGGGCCAGCAGAGGTCCCCCCCATGGCCTCCTCCCCCATCCTCCAGCCCCCTCACCCCTTACTTACCAGCACTGGAGCCCAGGTCCAGCTCTCTGTGGCTGGGAAGCTGCCTGCCCCACATGGGCAGGTAGCGCGCTTCAGCACCAGGTCGAGGGCCAGCCATTGAGATGCTCTGGCTGCTACCAGAGCGCCTCTGTGGAGGACCCAGCTCCCAGTTGCCTCAGGGTGTGGGACCATGCCCTGCCCCACTTGTTTTCTCTGCATTTTTTTTTGACCCCTGAATATCCAGGGGTCTAATTTGGCCCCCACGCTGCAAATTTGCAGGACAGGGAACGTTTTCTTGTTCCTGCAAGTGCCTCTTGCGGCATCTCAAATGTCTTTGAGATGCTGCAAGATGCATGTGCGCTCTTATCTGGACGCACCCTATGAGTTTAAAGAAATTTCAGATGCCCTCCCTCTAGTGCCTCTTAGCTCCTCATGTTAGTTGAGCTTTAGTCATAAATGTTGTGTCTTTTTTTATATGTTATTCTTCAAAGGGTCACTTGAATATTTTGGTTCATATATGCTTCAGCACATATCTGTATAGTCCAGTATCTAAGCAAAAATAATTTTCTGGATTAGAACACATACATAGTGAACATATTTGGAACATCAGTCATTTTGTTTGAGATGTGCCTAAAGCTAGGTTTCATTTCAGTTTAGAAGCACAAGCCCACATAAGATGTATGCTTGAGCCATTTCCAAGGAGCACTCACTATATGCCAAGCCAGCCACATCATAACTGTCACAACCTAAATGTGATGTAAATGGCTACTTAGCACTCTAACTTGCCATAGGCATGCATATAATTGTTCTTTCAATTTGTGGTATACTTAAAAGTTTTATTGTATACTTTCCAATGGCCAATTTGAGCAGCTATTCCAAGGCACATGGTTTGGTTTGGCTACCTAGTGAAGGCTTTATTTTCCATCTAGACATGACCCTTCACAGTTGGACTTGTAAAGATAAACCTTATATCCTAAGATAGGGCAAGTGTCCTGGCATTTCCAATGTGAGCATCTCCTCAAAATAGTCTATGACTTCAGCAATTGTAACTGCACCCTCATGCTTTTGAGGTTATATCTAAAGAGACACTGAATATTTCAGAAGCCCTTGAAATTTTAATTAAGAAAGGCAAACAAGCACAGCAGTCATCATGACTAATGAAATAGGTATATCTCACAACCAGCTGTGTTTTAGAGCCTCAGAGCAATATTGATTCATTATATGTATATATGGCCACTTTTTTTTCCAAAAGACTGAAAGAATTCATTAAAAAGTGTAAACAAATAAAATATAGGAAAATATAGGAAAGGATGTGAACATTTTGTAGGAAAAATAACAGCAAGAAGTAACATGACAAAAAAGAATTTTTTTAACCTTCCCCAGAAAGAGCTCAGGGCTGTGATTCTTCTTTACTGTCACTGATAGAAGCATTTAAGCCCCCACAGTGTTCATTTGGGTGCATAAACCTATGTTTTGCTCCTCTAGGAGATAATTTATGCACCCATGCTTATATAGGGATTTATATCACTGAATGCAAGAGTCAACGTTCCAGACTACTATTAAGCTCCAGTGGAGGGCAGGGTTCCAAACTCCTCTCTCATCTTTCCACACTTCCTATTGATTGGTTTCTGCACCCTGCTTAGCATGCTGGCCTTAGTACCTTTATTTAGTAAGGTCTGTCTTTTGAGAATTGAGGTAGTACAAGCAACTGTGTACAAGTGCAACATAAGAAAGATTGGTGTAGGCACAAACATATACACAATCCATCTTTACATATTGTATGCATTCTTTGTATGTCTTGTATTCTTTGTGTGTCTGCCACTCTAAAAGTGACATAAAGAATCTATTTTAATATGCTTCTGCCATTCTTTGGTTCTGTATAGCTTCTTGTACCATCTTCTTTGCATCCTTTGTCAGTCATTCAGAAATCTTCTTTCTTCTGCTATCCAAGATGGAGAGTTCTCTATGTGGCATAATCTTCTTGAGCAAAAAGACATGAATTCTAATAAGAAAACAGACAGGAAAACAAATTTTATTTGGCCTAAACAAGTCTTCCAGAACTTTTAAAAAAGGCAGGCCTCTGTTTCTTGTGGGGGGGGGG